TGTTCACACCTCCCACCCTCTCCTCCCCTCCATGCGCCTTAATATGCTCTCTGGTCTCAGCAGCTCTGTCCCTACAGGTCACAGCTGTGACAGCACTAGTGTATATAACTTATTTTAGCTAGTCCTGCCTAGAGAGACTGACTGCTGCATCCCACTCCTGCCTGCAGACAGAGCCCTGTCAAGACTCAGTGGGGCCAAAGAGCCTGTCATGTATTTCCAGCAGGGAGATGAAAAGCAGGAGTGGGCAATAAAACACAGGGACACCCAAGCTGGGGTTACGCTTCCTTCCAGCAAGCAAGTCAAACACAAACCTGTAACCCTGCAACTCAGCATGCTTTTAGGAGTTGCATACTTAGCTGTTCTTGCAAACAGTTCGATGTCAGAGTCCTGCATTTCAAAAGGTCCACAAATGTAATTTCTACTTAAACAAGCATCCCATTTTGCTTCCCTCAACCCCCAGTCACCATTTCTTAGTAGACTGTAAAATAACCAGCTACACATGATACCAGTGCAGTTTAGAAACACCCTCTTTGCCTCTACCATCCAGGTACATGACTGTTTGAAACACATCATTTTATGACAGAAGCAGGGGGCATATCTGATTCCAGTAGCCATCCCCATCATCACTGGAGACCATAGCATTTTCATTGAACCATAGCATGTATATTGAACATGTACATTTTAAGTTACTGACTAGATTTCAAGAAATATCACTTTTGAAACAGTCCAATGAAACTCTAATCGATGGACATAAGAGGAAGCAGAACATACTGTAACAGCAAGCCTGAACAGAGTGTTGGATTTAGTGGTTACCACTAAATAATTTGCATAATTTGCTTTAAAGTATTATGTTAAAAACAACAGAATATCTGGTCAAATATTACCACAAGTCTCCAGGAAGCTTTTGTAATTTAGTTTATGTTATTCTTCCCTATCAACAAACTTTTCATAGTATTTTTTTTCCCCTCTCTGGACTGAAGCAGGAAGTTCAAATCAATAATAAATGCCCAGGGATGGCAAAGGCCCAGAACCACAGACCTGCTTCTCCTGCACATCATTGCTATGCTTTCCAAGAGTAAAAGCAGAGGAAGGATTACCTGTGTAGTAACCATAAGTATCTTCAAAATCTGCAAAGCCAGTTTCCATGGTACTTGACGTCTTGCTCTGTATTTTTCACATGGGTTCATGAAGTAGAACTTCAAATCCTCTTTCAAAGAGGCCTCCTTCAGATCTAAATCTGACTGAGCCATCATGTTTCTGCCACAAATAGATGTTAATTAGAAACCAATAGAATGTTTTAGCAATTTGCTCATACTGCAGTTTCACCTCAAATCACCACGACTTTAGAGATCTATAAGAGTTTTCTGTTTGTTTTGCAAGAAGTATTTCCCTATGATCACATCATTAAGAAAAGAATTATCCAATCACATTAGATAATCAAAACACAACATCCACACAACTATTTCTCAGGAAACAGGTATCAAATATGAGGATCTGCAATAGTAACAAGCAAGTATACATTGAGCTCTTTCTTAAAACTAAATATTTGAAATAGAGTCTCTGTTAACACATTTCTCTGAACCCACATTCTACCACCAGAAAAAAAGTGTCTTAAAGACTAAACAACAAGACCAGGCTTCATAGCATGCTTCTGTTATGAACAGGCAGCTTTAACGGCTAAACTTGGGCATTTATTTATTTAAATACCTGGGCATGTAAAAAAAGGGGGAAAAAAAATATCAGAGGAACAAGCACAGAGCACTGCTGTTGTAGGAGTCTTAAATCACTCCAAGTTTCACCCTCTCCACTGAGCAGGACATGGAAAACTTTCCCCTTCTCTTGGTCTTTTTAACCCTGTTTTCCAGTACTGTAATTGTCAGAACTTTCCTACTTCATACAAAGATCAAAACCAAGCCTGTAATTTTTTTCCTCCCTCCATATGTTAAGACAGAGCAATCATATCTGAAGCCAGTTCTCATTTACCATCTTATCATACCTGAAGCCAGTATCATAAGCCGATTATCAATTCCGTTTACCATACAGAAAATTACACCTCACATTCTGAATTTTATAAAGGATAACATTTTCTCCTGAGGTCAAAACCAAAAGCGTAGATTCCAAGTTTTCAGATGCATTTTTACTTGCTCCCCTGTCTGAAGTGTACAGATATGTAAGCCCAAACTGCAGACCGCAAAGTATATTTGATTTGCTAGAGCCAGCTGTCTCATGAGAATTGAGTTAAAACATTGTGATGTTTCCCCATAAGAGGAAGTGGAAAAAAAAAAACAAAACCAAAAAAGCTATTTTAACATTAGAAGCACGAAGGTTATCTTTATCATACAGCCCTAAATCAATCATTCATGATGATGATGGGAGGTAAGTTGATTTTGGTTTTGAGACAAGAAAAACACAGCAAAGTTGTTAAGAAAAAGACAGTATGGAGTACACCCCTATTTAGATTTATAATAAAAAACATACTAGACTTGTTCTAATAATGTTTAGGGCATAAAAAAATTGAAGAATTTAAACACATCTGACAGAAGAGGATATGATAATTATAGCCATGAATATTGTCTAGGGAAACAGGTACATATGTTCTTCAGTCCTGCACTGACACTCAAAGACATTGCTGCTCCTACAGCAGCTTCTCTTGAACAGGCAGAAGCGTTTGTGTGGGTACACAGCAAAAAAGACCTAACTCAGTAAAACTCACAGCAGTAGGTGAGAGAGAAAGGGGAAAGGGAGCAGGTTTAAGCTGGATCTGGTCAAGATTTAAGCACAAAGGTATCACGTAAGAAGCACTCCAAGACTTCAGCAAAACCCTCCCCTAAGTTTCCAGTAAAAGAATATCAGTAGTGACAGATCTTAAAATCAAAAAGCAAACTTTATAATAAACACCATTTCCTTTGATAATCAAATGCACCACAGAAGACATGGTTTTTTCCAAAGTTGTCTTTCAAGCCCTTACTGTTCTAAAAATTTGATGTTGACTAATAACAATACTTTCACATTTACACAACTCTTTCTTAACTCCACTGGCTGGGGATCATCTTCACTGATACCTTTAGCTTCCTTTGTTAGTTAACTGTAGAAAATGTGAGTAGGAAATTCAGCCAAGGAAAGCCACATACTTTTTCAGTGTAAGAGGAAGAGATGAGATTCAAGCCTGTGTTGCTGTTGGGCTTTGCCTGCCAATATAGAACAGGCATTCTCTGGTGTAGTATTTAAGAAATAATTCATTTGTCAATAGGTGAAATAAGGCAATTGTTTCATATTTATTTCTAAGACAGATTCAAAGTAACATCCAAATAAACTGCATTAAATCTGCAGAACTAGAACTTTCCACCAAAGCATTAAAGTTAAAAAGCTCTGAGTGATTCACAATGACTTACTACATTTAAAACAAACCATCCAGTTCTATCAAATGTTTGTTAGCCTAATAATCTAAAAATAATCCATACAAGACACCCATCTTAAGGCAGAATAATGGAACAACTCCATTCAGACGCAGTAATTAACACCCCTTAGTAGGTTTCGTAAAGCACTGATACAAGCAAGTTTTGTGAATGACTACTAACTCTACTAGACACATTTAAATGCATATCTAACTGTCATTGTGTCACGCGTCACAAATAATAATTGTTACTCATTCAATTCTAAAAGTTGCATTACTATAGCCACCACCGCAATGCTGTATCTGGTAGGTCAATGTGTTATTTGGATAAGGTTTTGCAGTGAGGCACTTTAAAGTTCAGTATTCTAGTCAAGAAAGACGTTTCAACAGTAATGACTATAACTTATAATTACCTACTTAAAAAATACGCATTCAATCCACAGCTCTTCACCTAGCAGTAAATGCACCGTTCAATCAAGTGGCTAAAATGTAACAAAATCCAGATTCACCTTTTTTTTTAAACGAGTAATTCACTACAGAAGCAACACTGACAGTGTCCATCAGAGCTCCAGATTCAGAACATTTATAGAATCACAGAACAGTTTGGGTTGGAAGGGACATTAAAGCTCATCCAGTTCCACCCCCCTGCCATGGGCAGGGACACTTTCCACTAGACCAGGTTGCTCCAAGCCCCTGTGTCCAACCTGGCCTTGAACACTGCCAGGGATGAGGCAGCCACAGCTTCTCTGGGCAACCTGTGCCAGGGCCTCACCACTCTCAGTGAAAAAATTCTTCCTAGTTTCTAATCTAAAACTCTCCTTTGTTAGTTTAAAGCCATCCCCCTTGCCCTATTTCCACATGCCCTTGTAAAAAGTCTACTTGAGCTCTACATCCTGAAGAGGTATTCACAAGACTGGTGGGGTGTCATGGGGATGGGAATAGAAAAAAATAAAGAAAAAATAAACCGGAGTTCAGTTCTACGTACCAGACTGGGCAACCCCAGCCTCACCTTTATGTTCTTTTACCAAGTTCACAGCGCGTCTAGAGGAGGGCATCGCCTAGTACTCCTCAGGAAGGTGAACACTAAAACTAGGAAAAAACTCACTCTTTTTACAGAGCTGTCAACGTTACCA